TACTTTATCTACAAGTTTTCTGAGGACAGTGGCTCAAAGGGTCCTCAAAGGGTCTCAGAGGAATTGACTTATTTCTAAGTTGAGAATCTTAGCTGTGGTTGCCAGGAGATCTTTTGGATCTTAGTGGACATTCAGAATTGTCATCTGTCAACTCACCAGAAGTCCATCACAACAACTAAATAAGGTGCTGACAGCAAGCAAAGCTGAGTTTATGACATAACACAGCAGGCGAGAGCACCACCTTCCCTCTTAGTATTGCCTCTGAGAGGGGAACATCAGTGGCAGATATTGATGAGGTTTTGGGGTCTAGGCTTGAGTGTTTTAAGGAAGAGCTTTCAACATAGGAAACTAGTCAGCAAAGTTTATGATATAAAAGTTTAGGATTAATGAATACAAAGGCCAGGGTTTTAAAGGAAGTCTTGATGCGCATACAGTTATTTGATAAGGAAGGGATTTGTCCAGGTGAGTGATCTTTTGTCCTGAGAAAGGGACTGTTTGCCCAGATTAAGAATCTGTTGTTTCAAGAAGGTAGCTGATTGATGATTGAGCCAGTCTGTTGTTCAGATAAATGATTTATGGGAGGTCTTGAGTAAATTAATAAAGTTATTTACTGGTTTATAGCTTTTATTTTCCAGGGCAGCAATTTCTTGAGGAACTGATGAAAAAGTCACGTTGAAGTAGGTGGTCTTTAGTCCTTTGTTCTGATGGTTAAGGTATATGAGTCCAAGTGGTCTCAGTTCTCCTGTCTCACTAATTATTATGTGTTTTTCCATTAACGTGTTTACATTGTTTGATTTATTCCTGGAAATCGATAGTTTGTTCCTATTGTAAATCATCTTTTTTGTAAAATTACATTTTGTGTTGTTTTCCTGATATATACTATATAAGTTTAGAATTGATTTTTATTGAACAATCTTGACATGTTAATTGATTTAATGTAACCATGTTAGATTGTATAAAAAAAACCCAGCACATTTACCTCACATATGCATGAGTGTATTTGATCTATGTGTATTTGACTTAATAAAAAAAATTTTTTTATAAAGGTAAACTTACCATCTTGCAATAATGAATTATTTTTTTCTTTTCAAATTATTTCTTTGTCTCAGCTTACTAAGATCTTCAATACAATGCTGAGTACAAGTGGTGATAATGGATGCGGCAGAGACAGGTGTTACTTATTACCTGTTCATGTGCCCTCCCTTATTTTAAAGCCCTTTTGCAAGTAGATGGGGCCTTGTTCTAGCCAATGGACTCTGAGTAGAAATTCACTCTTTTAAGGTGACAGTGAGGCCTCATGTTCCATGTTCCAGATGGTATAGTTATAAGTTGGTCAGCATGTTCTATCAGTATAGGCATGTGGGCGATTTTATAAAGTGTAATTTCTTTTGCTAAAGTGCATTACCATATAGTGGAGGGAAAATGAACTTTTACTATATTAAGCTACGGATTTTCAAACTTAATTTGCTTCTGTGGCAAAGCCTAATGCTTGATCTTGTTTTTGACATTTACTGTGTTTTTGTTTTGTGTCTGTGAATAGCTAACAATGGAGTGATTTTCATTTTTTCATTTATTTGATGTAGGTCCCATGTGTCTTTTTGGTCATTTATTAAGGACTGTAACTGAGTCGTTTGAACTCTGTGCTGTTTAGTTCTGGAATGGAAACTTGATTCTCTCGGATGATTGCTGGCTTACCATTTGTTGTTGTAATAGTAATTCTGAAAAGCAGTGAAAATTGTAGCAGCATGGAAACAAAAGCTATGTTGAATTGATGTTTTAATAATGACTTACATTTAATATAACCTAGATAATTTATATGCCTAGATAATAAGCAAGGTACTTTAAATAAATTATGAAGATCTGTATGGTAGCTGTTATTAACCTTTTTTTACATATAAGGGATATGAGTCTGAGAAGAATAAGATAACTTACTTAAAGATTAAATATTTAGTAAATAGCCTGCTGGAACATAAACTCTTAAAGGTA